GCGGATGAGGAGGCCGCGGGGGGAGCCCGACTCCCGGGCCCCAAGACTGACCGAGGGACCGACCTGCACGGGGCCCGGAGAGTCATGTAGGGGCGGCGCCTATGGGACGGGCCGCGGGAGGGCGAGGGAGTTGGCGTGAGCGGCGGCGGCGTTGGCGTTGGCCTCGGTCTCCTGGCATCCCCGGGCTGGGGGTGCAGGGGCCCCCGACGCTGTTGACTCCTCGCCATTGCAAAGCTGCGCAGCCCTGCGAGGTGGGCGCAGCGTCCTCACTTCCCGGGTGAGGAGACTTAGGCAGAGAGTCGAAGCCACTTGGCCAAGGTCACGCAGCTGGTAAGTGGCAGCGCCCAGCATGGAACCCAGCGCTGTCCGGCTGCGGAGCCCGTGTTCCACCCCGGTGCCACCGCCGCCTCCTGCGGGAGGGGGAGGTGGTCGGGAGGCCGCACCGCCGTGGCCACCTGGCCTCCAGACTGGGCGCGACCACTAACGCGGTTAGTCATTTGACCTCGGACTAACCTAACCCCATCGCAGCTCCGGGCCTTGTTTTCTCTACCTGGGAGATGAGGTAATGCCAGCCCTGCCTGCTCCTCGGGCCTGGGGCCGCTTCAGAGGAGAGCATGCATGCCCAGCTGCTCGGGGACTGGCGCTGCCTGCGCTGCCTGCGCTCCCTGAAGACCATAGGGCTGTTTTGAAGGCGTGGCCGGAGGCAGTGGCCCAGGTGGAGGCTGGAGGTGGACTTGCTCTGACCCCCGCCCCTCTGGGTGGAGAGTGAGCAAGGAATAGGAGCAAGTCTTTCTCCCCTTTGGAAAAAACCTCACCCCCTTTTCTGGGCCGCCCCTCAGGGTCTCCATCACCCAACTCCATGCTTCGAGTTCTGCTTTCTGCCCAGGCCTGCCCTGCTCGCCTGTCTGGCCTGCTGCTCATCCCACCAGTACCTCCCTGCTGTTGGGGACCCAGCAAGTGGGGGGACCGGCTTGTTGGAGGAGGCCCCCAGGCAGGCCCTGTGCAAGGGCTGCAGCGCCTTCTGGAACAGGCGAAGAGCCCTGGGGAGCTGCTGCGCTGGCTGGGCCAGAACCCCACCAAGGTGCGCGCCCACCACTACCCTGTGGCGCTTCATCGTCTGGGTCAGCTCTTGGGATCTCAGCCACGGCCCCCTCCTGTGGAACAGGCCACACTACAAGACTTGAGTCAACTCATCATCCGAAACTGCCCTTCCTTTGACATTCACACCATCCACGTGTGTCTGCATCTTGCAGTCCTACTTGGTGAGGAGGGGCTTGAGGGCGTGGGGGGGCCAGGTGTTCATGGAAGGACAGAAAGAGCAGGAAAGGACCTGGGACTGATAGACTCGCCTCCTGGGCTTTCGCCCAAGCACTGCACGCGTCCAGGCACACTTGTTCCCGCCTCCACGCCCGTGTGTGTAGCCCACGTCATGAACCAAACAGCTCTGTTCCAGCTTCACCAGGGGGCCGCCCCACATCCCATCTAACACGGTGCTCTAGGAAGCCGCTACCGTTCGTCACTGTCGGCTCAAGACATGTCTTTGTAGACCGTCTGGTACCCACGCTTACATGCCGCCTCACCTCTCCAGTGTTTCCACGTCAAGTCCAGCACACCGTCCCACCTGGGAGGTGGAGGGGAGCGTGGGGGCTAAGTCCAGGCTAGGGCAGGGCAGCTCAGCTGCTACCACAACTGCCTTTGACCCTCTCCCTCGCAGGCTTCCCATCAAACGGGCCCTTGGTGTGTGCCCTGGAGCAGGAACGGAGGTTCCGCCTCCCTTCAAAGCCTCCGCCCCCTCCGCAGCCTCTCCTCCGTGGTGGGCAAAGGCTGGAAGCTGCTCTGAGCTGCCCCCGTTTCCAGCGGCACCCACGGCAGCACCTGATCAGCAGCCTGGCAGGTGCCGAGTGGGCTCAAAGCAGATGGAGGCGGGCGGGCCGTGGTGGGATCTAGCAGCCTGCAGGCCTGGCCTGAGGGTCCCAGTGACTGACTGTCCTTCACAGAGGCCAGGCCTGAGGAGCTGACTCCCCACGTGATGGTGCTCCTGGCCCAGCACCTGGCCCGCCACCGGCTGCGGGAGCCTCAGCTTCTGGAAGCTATCGCTCACTTCCTTGTGGTCCAGGAAGCCCAGCTCAGCAGCAAGGTGGGCTCACCTCCCACTCTCATTCCCCCAGGGTCTCCTCAATAACCTGGTGAGGCCCAGCCCCCCTGCAGCAGACACCAGCCAGCCGCTCGCCCTCGCCTGCACCACCATCTGTCACGCTCTGGCTTGCCCACCTCCTGGAACCAGCCTGTGTGCCTAGAGCACTACAGTATCCAAGCACGCTCAGCACCACCCAAGCTTCACGGGTCCCACTTCTGGAGGTCTTCAGGGCCAAACCCATAGCAGTGACCTCTGCTTGTTGGGCAATAGCCACATGTGGCCCGAGACCGTTTATTCTGGTGACACTGCCGGGTGGAGGGACCTTCAGTACTGCAGCCTGAGTGGTGGGCTGCCCTGAGGCTCAGCCTGCCAGGTGACAGGTCGCCGTGCCAGATAGTCCACTGCCCTTCCTCCACAGGTGGTACAGAAGTTGGTCCTGCCCTTTGGGCGGCTGAACTACCTGCCCCTGGAACAGCAGTTTATGCCCTGCCTGGAGAGGATCCTGGCCCGGGAAGCGGGAATGGCACCGCTAGCCACAGTCAACATCTTGATGTCCCTGTGCCAGCTGCAGTGCCTGCCCTTCCGAGCCCTGCACTTGGTCTTCTCCCCGGGCTTCATCAACCACATCAGTGGTATGCGCACAGGCGGGCCGGGGATAAGGGCTCCACGGCCTGGCGCACCCCAGTGCTCACCTCCCCACAGGCACCCCACATGCTTTGATCGTGCGTCGCTACCTCTCCCTGCTCGACACGGCTGTGGAGCTGGAGCTCCCAGATTACCGGGGTCCCCGCCTTCCCCGAAGACAGCAAGTGCCCGTCTTTCCCCACCCACTCCTCACCGACCGGGCCCGCTGCAAGTACAGGTGGGTGGGCAGCCTGGCCGAGCAGAGCAGGAGAGCCAGAGGGGCCCTGCCTGCCCAGGCAGCACGCTCGGCAGCCATGGAGAAATGGCACCCTGGTGCGGTGCAGGGGGTTGCCATGGTGGCGGCATGGCCAGACAGGTGGGGCTGATCTTTCAGTCACAAGGACATGGTCGCTGAGGGGCTACGCCAGCTGCTGGGGGAGGAGAGATACCGCCAGGACCTGACTGTGCCTCCAGGCTACTGCACGGGTGAGTCCTGTGGGTGGCGGGCAGCTCCGAGTGCAAGCCCCCACAGCCTGAGGCCCGGCCCTCTCCCTGCAGACTTCCTGCTGTGCGCCAGCAGCTCGGGTGCTGTGCTTCCTGTGAGGACCCAGGACCCCTTCCTGCCATACCCTCCAAGGCCCGGCCCGCAGGGCCAGGCTGCCTCTGACCCCGCAACCCACGACCCTGCCCAGAGGTGAGGGGAGCAGGGTGGGAGAGCCAGGCCCTGGCCGCCAGGCCCCTGAGCTGTGCCCTCTTCCCCAGGGTGGTGCTGATGCTGCGGGAACGCTGGCACTTCTGCCGTGACGGCAGGGTGCTGCTGGGCTCACGGGCCCTAAGGGAGCGCCATCTGGGCCTGATGGGCTACCAGCTGCTGCCGGTGAGTGGCCCGGCCGGGCAGCCGCGGACCCTCGCCCCGCG